TTCCTGGGACTGGAGCACCGACAATACAAACATGTTAATGAAAGAGCTCAGTCCAAAAGACAAAAACGTAAGCATCTTATTGAACCACCACATCCTCACAATTCCCATCAAACAAAATTAAATAATTAAATGTGTATTCAGCCTAGATTCAGATGGATTTCCAAAAGGGGAAATTCCTTCCTCAGAGCCTTATGCAAGTGGTCAGTCCCAGAATTCAGGGACAAGGACACATTATGAGCAATTCCCACTCAGTATAATGCCATTCTGAGGGTTTAGAAGTCAAGAATCAAACCCAGTTGGAAGGTAATGTAAACTGGAATTCCAAGTTTCTCAATAAAATAGGATCTGAAGAGCGTGCACTGCCTGAAGCCTGTTACTGATCATCTGTCTACCATTACTGATATAGAATATAGGCTTTCTACATTAGATCAAGTCTGGGCAAATCCTATTTTGGGTGAGATCATGGTGATCTGGGGTATTCTAGGAGTGAAAATGAAAGCAGTCATTATCATTCTGCTGCTTTCAGCCCATTTCTCCAGCATCATGAGATCACTTTAAATTATATTTCTGTCTTCTAGTAATTATCCCACCCAATTTTATATCACCAGGAATTTGATAAACATTCTCTCTACCAATAGAAGAGAATATATGTAGTTCAGGGTTGAACTGTGCTCTGAAGGTATTACCTAGCTGGGTAATGAAATGTCTGCCAGAAAATAACCAAGCTCAGAGAATCCCAAGGACTTCAATTCTCTCTACCTGTGTTTCCAAATCATTAGTATAAATGTTGAACTGTACAGATGCAAAATGGATTCTCATGATCTCCAGTCGATACCTTTTCCCAATTTGATAAGGAACCATGGATGAGGACTCCATGAATTTTGACCCAGTTGGGGTTCCAGTTCATTGTTCTGCCATCCATCCCACACTTGCTTGCTAATCGGCTTATCACAGGGTGTTTTGCTCAGATCAAGGCAGTTTAGGTCTGTACTATCACCACACCTTCTA